TGGTTTAACGTCTGTCCTGCCCTGGCAGGGCCCTGGCCCTTTTTCTGGGCAGTAGCCTGCTTCCTGCTGCATTTGTGGCACCACAGTTGAGACTGATGCAGCAGAGAGATGTCAAAAGGAAAAAAAATATGCCACAAATTGAGATCATGGATGTAGCACATTAAGTTTTTAAGCCGCTTGCTCTGTTTTGCAAGAACTGGGTGATCGTCTGGATTTTCAGGGGTCCAGATTGGGTGTTTCATGGTAGGGGAAGTATTTCCTTGAAAGAGAAGACTCTTGAGATTTGCTATGGGCTTATATTCTGTCCCCAGTTGTAACATTGTGGGCATGCTGACTTCTCTGCTTTCTCTTGGTGCTGTTATCAGTAGTGTTCATCGACAGTCTAACGACTGTTACTTCTATGGTTTAACTATTTTTTATTCTCCATTGAATGTGAACACAATGTATTGTAATGCTCATATACATAAATACAGCTGTTAGACATTTAGCTTCCCACTAGAATGTATCAAAGCATATCACACATATTATTAACCATGCTAACAATTGTTTTCCATCCTCAAGTGTACTATGAACGGCTGTTATCACTCCTTCAAAAAAGTTAAAAAATAAGAGCATTGAGAGAAGTTATAATTAAAATGCAGCTCTATACCAATAATACATTTTGTCCCTCTTTTGGTTTGGTTTGTTACCTTACAGAATGATTTTGCCTTTTTCTTCTTAGTAGGAAGAGTGCATTTTGGAATATTTTTTCAATGGAAAATAAGTAGAAACAAAAAAACCTGCAGGTCCTAGACATTACAACAGACAAAGAAAAAAAAAAAGCTACACATGCTGTAATATCAGGTATTCTGAATATATTTTATATATTCCTTCCACATTAGAGAAGTGTATATTCTTTTATATTTATGCTCCATTAAAAATATAATGAAGTAGTTGTACGCATACAATTCCATTAACAGTTTTTTCTGTCTTAGACATTAACATGACTAAGCAGCATAAAGGATCAGCAGTACCCATTAATAACCTTCAATACTGTCTTCTTGAATACTTTTAGTACTTTACATGCTCGGTCAGTCATAAACAAAACAACTAGGTAGTTTAGAAAATCCGTTAAAACCACAGAAGACAACCAGTCAGCCATAACCAAGTAACACAGACTTTGCCGAAAAAAATGGAATTTTTTAAACAATGGTTAAAAGAAGTATCAATGTATATATGATAAAAGGTTCTATTTTAGTTTTTATCTGGGACTTCCATTAATACTAGAAGAAATACTGAACAGAGAACCAGGATGGAATACAGCCTTATGCTTAGAGGAGCTGTTAAAATGCCCAGTCTCTGAAATGAGCCTTACGCTCTTCTACATTAAGGATTATGAATTCTGTTGTAAAATTACCCCAGTTCCTTACCCGGCGCAGTGCAATAAGTAATGCAATACTCGGGCAATACAAAACAGGCCATCGTCGCTGTGAATCTCCACCTGATATCAACTGACCAGAGAAACGGATTTTCAAAAGAGAACAGATTTAGATTCAGCATTTTATAGTGATCAGTCAATCTTCCAAAAATGACACAGGCCTTAAGAACTTTCCACATCATTAGTGCTTGACTACAGATAATATTTCCTGAAGGAACAACCAAACTGGTAACAGTTGTGTATTTCAGCAGATTAATCCTTTACCACCCTTTGCTGTACCAAGGCTAGTTTTACCGCCCTTGCAGGCTTTTAAACTCTTCTTTTAAACCTAGGAGTAACAATGAATTCCCCTAAGTCTGTCATATTATTTCAGAATAAGTTAATTCAGGAAAACAATCACAGCACTACTGTGGCATAGGGTACGTAGCTGGCTGGCTCCAAAATATAATTCCATGAAACATAACCTTCTCAAGGTACAATTGTCAGGCAATATATTGGGGTATAGTGTTTGTAAATAAATGCTGGTAGCAGATTAGCAAGGTTACCCAACTCCACTTAAACTCAGCCTGATGCGCATAATATGCCCATAATGAGAAGGATACATTCCCATTATCTATATAATTTGATAGAAAGTGCAGGTAGGTGAGTATAATGGGAGAAATCAGATCAAAATCAGTGCACATAACTCAATAGGACCTTAAGTAAAAGACAAACAATAGATAAGATGACGTAGAAAACACTTGATGATTTCCTGGTAGACTGGAGATTGCTTCATGACTTTCCATTTCATTCCTTTGCCACGCAAGGTGGCTTGAAGAAGGGATGGACAAACTGAGTTGGCAATCACAGATGTGCAGCCAACACTGAGAAATAATAAAAGAGATTATGTGGGTTCATTTGGGGTTTGGAGTCATGCTCATATAAAAGCTAAAAATTTATAAAGGAAACTTGTCAAGCAAATGATGATTTATTAAGATGGTTTTTGGAAATCTATTTATTAAGAAAAAATTTGGAGGTTTCAGCTGTGAAACAGAGTTTAAATTCTTCCTAGTCACACTGTAAATACTTACTGACCAGAGCATAGGTAGCTCTGGATAAAAAGGCATCAGAAAAATTATCTTAGTAGAGTAGTATTGTTCACATGGATATTTTTCCCTCTCAGATAACACGTAACATTAAAAAAACCCTCTATTCTTTATCACAGAAGCATGCCATTTAGGACTGGCTTCTCAAAATATACATGACATGTTTTTTATAATGATTATTTTTCAGCTGCAGTATGAATAATGCTCTGCCATTTGAGGGGTCTCTGTAAGTACAGGGAGCAGCCAGCTTGCAGAATCAGCTTGTGTGATTAGCTGGCATGCATTAGTCTGATTTGCCAGTCAACATGAATGTTAGAAGTGTGTATAAACATACACAATATTCATGTGTATATTTTAAAGATGGCACCGGAGCACAAAGCTTGATAACTTCAAGTAAAGTGCAAAGGTGTCTAAAATCAACTTCAGCTTTCTTCCTCAGGTGCACCAAATGACCTTCAGCAGCAGTATAGGCTTCTCACAGGTGATGAGCTAGATATATGTAAACAGAAGATTATTTTAACTTTGAGTTTGTAAGATTTTCATGCCAAATTCAGACTTGGTGTAATTTAAGAGATGTGATAGCTTTCCTGAGGTTGCGTATGCTACACCAACTGAATATTTCCTGCCACATTCAAAGTTTCCTGAATATCAGAAGTATCTGTTATTAACCTTCATTGCAGAATAGTGGAAAACCCAAGGATTTCACATTCACTAGCTTCATTCAGAATAATGAATAAATTCACTGAAGAACAAATATTTGCAGTTAGAGTGGAAAGACTTGACAGGGACACACAGAATTCATGAAAGTGATGTGTGACAGTTCGGATACAGAAGTGATGCCAGCTGAAAAATAAGCTGTGCTTCTAGCTTTCAGCACAGTAACAGCACCAGAGATTCATTTTGTGCTGCTTCAGCATGAGGTGGAGAAAGACAGACTTTTACATTGTCTTTTATTCTGTTAATTTCTTTCTACATTTTTAGAAAATCAGGTACTTCCAGCTATACAGAGTACAAAGTGCCATCCTACAACTGAACCCTCCATCCTACAACTGGATCTACATCGCCAAATGCCTTTTTCTGGGTGGAGTCCTGTGAAGTTCGTGAAGCTTCACAAAAATGCAAGCAAGTGCCCAGGTGTAGTTTATAGGATAGGGATTCAATGCTGTATTTTTATCAAGAGCTTCTTGTTATCATAGGATCAGAGAATGTCAGGGCTTGATGGGACCTCTAGAGATCTACTCCAACCCCCCTGCCAAAGCAGGATCACCTAGAGAAGGTCACACAGGAATGCATATGTTATATCTAAAACCCACCTTGATCTTCAATATGGTGCATCTTCTGTGCAGTACGACCCTGCATGGGGCAATATGCCTTCCTGGGTTTATTTTATATGTGTACAATATACACACAAATAAAGAGTATCACCTGCAAATAATATTTGGAATGTGAAAGACACAAAATGTAAACATTTTATTTGGCAGTTGTTCCAAACAGGTGAATAAATAAATGGAAAAGTACATCTTAATATTCTTTATAGCAACAGATGCAGTTGCACACATATTTACATATCGTGGATGCAAAGAACAGTTAATTTAGTTTCTTTTTGTTAAAAAATGCAACTTCCAACACCACTAGACTTGACAATTAAAGATGAAGATACTAGTTATACTTTGTTCTAGCAATCTCAACTTTTAAAGGCATTCATCTGGAAGTAAGATAAGAGAGTCATCATGCATTTAGTTCATTTTTGTCCACTTATAGTAGAAAGTCTGATGTAATCTCAGAATTAGGAGTGTCATGCGCTTAAGTCAACTATGACATGTTTGTAAATCAATGTAGTTCCCTTAAAACTTGAAGCAAAGAGAAAATCTCGTTTATCGATGGAGACATGTATGAAAGATCTTGGTGCCTGCACGTTTAATTCTTGAAACTTCACAAATTTTGCCTTTTCAGCATCCCAATAATAGACTTGAGTGAAAGAATAATCACTTCCAAGAATGGCATATTGATAATTTTTTATCTGAAGCGGTTGGAATACCATTGACCCTCGGGATGGCATCCTTTGTAAATCCAGAAATGCCGAACCACCCCATTTCATTACTTTAGAGTCCCCAATAAATCTTGTTAAGCAAATGTATACATCCTCCTTCACCTTGAAATGTTTCACTGCATACGCATCTTCCATATCTTGGATATCAAAACGCTTAACAAATTCATTTGTTCCTTTGTTCCACTGATATATTACAGGTCTTTGGGAACTACTTGACAGAATTAAATGTGGTTTGCCAGATATTTCAAGATACTCCACATCAGTATCTCTGTACCAGGCGTGCAGAGACTGATGGGAATAGAATCCATTCCCATTCCATTTGTAAACCGTGGTGAAACCAGCCTTTGAACTGTCTGCAACAACAAAATACCAGTCTTCAGCAATCTTGAAAGTTTCAATGTCATTGGGTTTTCGGATCTTAAGGATTTCAATATCTTGAATTTTTATAAACTTATTAGCAAAAATATCTCTTTTATATATGTGGGAGCCTCCAAACAGCTGTGCGACAATGACATACAGCTGACTCTCAATAACTATAGGTTTACACACAACAGTTGAAGTACCTATAAAAAAAAAAGGAAAAGACAGGGTTAGCACCGCTTTTTGGATCAGCTGTTGTAATGTTATTTGTCAAGCATTGTTCATACCTGTAATGTTGTCGTAATTCCTGAACATCACTTCTACATGGTCCCATTCAAGAAAGATGCATTTTCCGGTAAAAGGCTGAGCAATAACCACGTGTTCATCATTCATGTATGAGAAAGTGTCTACTGACAGAGATTGGTATGGCAGGGACTGATAAACTTCAAATTCTGCAAAAGTGCACACAACGTATGATAATGACAGAAATACTTTCCAAACTGTACTGAAAAAACATCTGTTTAACAGATTTATTGCAAATTTATTACAAATTACGGTATTCCATCTCCAGTCCTATTTTCCTGTTGATAAAGGAGCACTACAAATTTTTCAATCTTTCTCAATTAAAAGAGGTGCTGTTTTATGTCCCAGTTCTCCAAATCCTTATACAGAATAATAAGGTCTGAGTAGAAGCTGCAATATATGACTCCACTCCCAAGTGATTCACGTGCCAGACCTGCACAGAATTCCTATTGATTTTAGTTGAAGTCCCATCCCATATGCAGACTTCCTGCAAAAATGGACCCTAGGATAAAAAAAAAAAAAATAACTCTGACTTTAATTTAGCAAGATAAAATAATTTGAGGCACATTACCTGTAATAATGCAATCAAATTCTTTTGGAGAGAGGCTATTGATTTTGCGCTTCTTATATTCTGGTGGGCTTTCACAGTAAATGTCTTCAACTGTTGCATTGGTGCTGCCCAGCCATTCCACCAACCACTTCAGTTTGCAGTCACAATTAAACGCATTGCCTCTAAGATCTCTACAACAAATAAATCATGCATTGAAAATAAGTAGTCAGCTGATGCATTCCTCCCCGCAGGACAACAGCAAACTGGGCTCTTGTTAAATAATGTTCTCTTGCTTATTCTCAGTTGATGCCTTCCTGGCTTAATTTGTACTGACCCACCAGAACCCACACAGGTTTAATTATATTAAGGTAAGCAAGGAGAACTTAACCTGATGATCAGTAATAAATTTTTGTTGATTTCAGCAAGTTTGCAGGTACACAAAAGGCTACCAAACTGCTGGCCTCATATTTCAGGAGGTTGTTACTTTCAAATTACCCTTTTTCAATAAGGACATTCTAGATAACAAAACCAGAAGTAATGTAAGGCAATGATCAGCCAGTTAGTATTTGCTCTCTCCTTTAGATATATTCATTTAAGGCTTTAGGAGACACAAGCAAAGGAGTTCTGTTCAAGTCTTTTTACAGCTGTCTTCAGTCAGATTTCAGATTGTACGTACAGGAACAGGCAAGCGCCAGGACCAGACTGTGTGACCACCTGGCCGTGATCAGTCATGCCAAGTAATGCTACCAGGCACACTGACCATCTCCATGTCTCTCTACTGCAGCTCTGAGCTATGAATTCAGCCTGCCTTCCGAATACAGGCAGCAGGCTAAGGGTTGTCTGTGCTTATTGTCCCAAATCAGGTGAAGAATTTGTGTGTTGTAAACAGGATGTATTTCAGGGAAGGAACTGTATGATTTATCTGTGTATCTGTATTTTGTATTTTTGCCAGTATTTAAATTACATATTTAAACAAGTTCATGTTTTGGTTTGGTTGCAGTTAGATTTAGTATGGGATATGGTACTTAGTAAGATCATATGCTTTTCTGATAAAAGATAGCCTTCCCAGAAATTATTTGCATATAGAAACGTTACTCCATTAAATATCTTCCACCCTCCCTTCATGCCATGCTCTCTCATGCATCCCTAAGGATACTTCCTTTTATTCAGTAAGTCTTAATGAACATGCAGCTCTCTTACATAACTACTAACAATATTACTTGTCTCCATAACTGATGGAATATTCAAAACGAAAGCAAATTATCAACAACAGTAGACAAAAAACAAGGCTACCCATATGGGGTAGTCTCTACTCAGTAATAAGATCCCGTTACTGGCTATCAGTTTGAATGGTTACCCAGAATGTCCTCTAAAAGCATTTCTTTATATTTTTAGTATAATTAATAGATAAATTATTTGCTTTCTTACACATTTGTTAAGGAATCCAAGCCTTTGAATATGTCTTTTGGAAGTGATTGGAGGTTATTATTTGCAAGACTCCTGTAAAAGAAGATACTTCAGTATCAGTGCTAGTTCATGAAATCACACATTTCTGCAAGGTGTTTTGATTTTTTTATAAGGTAAAGAACTTTGCTATTCTCCAGTGCTTAGTTCTAATAGATTGCTTTTAAGGAATAGCTCATTTGCTTTGTGACTTTTTCTTCCACTTATATGCCATGTCTCCTTCTGCTTTCTCACTCTTCAGCAGCCTTGCAGCTTTTACAGTGCTTCACTTAGCAAGGTAAAATTGCAATCAGCTCTGGTGTTTTGCCAACACCATTATTTTAAAACAATTAGTCATGACTGGATTTACTGACGCTTTCCTTACAAGATACCAATGCATGGTGTTCATATTACTGCAGTTTCTCCACTGTCTTGTATCTTTTTCTGGAAGAAAAATGTTAATACCAGGTTTCATTGCATTGGACTTAGGTTTAGCGCACAGGTTTTGGGACTATGCAGTAATACGGCAAGAAATTGCCAATCAGCATTAATTTATCTCCTAGAATGCAAGCACGTGTGTGTATGAGTCCAGCAAAAAACCTGCTGTTAATTCCCAATTTTTAAGATTATTAAAACTCATTTAAATTCAGTGAGTATTCTAGCTAGTAAAAGTGATAAGGAAATGTGAGCAGGCTTTCAAGAAGCACTATATGACATTTCAGTCAGGCATGTCTGTGTGAGGCCACCAAAGGTCTGGGTTCTCTGAGGTGTCACTGAGGGCATGACAGGAAAAGAATTATGTTGTAGGGTATAGCTTGCACCTCTTTTGATTAACAAAATTATTTATTACTTATGACAAGAAGTGAAAATGAAAAGAAATTCTCATTTAAGATCCCAGTTAGAACTTGTAGCTAGTAAGACTTAGAACCTCTTCTGGTTTTGCTTGTAAACATAAAAGTTATTTCTTAACTACAATGGCTATAGTCAAGCAAAGTTACTTAGGAATATACTTAAATTGAAGAACAGGCCCAGATGTTCTAGGTTGGCTGCTTCATTTAAAATTGTTTGCCTTATCAGGAATAGTAAATACAGCACGATGCCATTAGTGCATTTTCTGACTCACCATTTTCAAAGTACATCTGAGAGTAACACTCTTTGGTGTATGGATCACGTGCTTCACTTCTGCTTAATTTTATACTCAAGTCAGGTAACTCATACAAAGAAAGCTAAGTAGACTTGCAAGCCGAGGCAGTTTTAACATCAGATATATTCTTTACATATTACAACATAGCAAACTGAAAGGGATGATGTACTTGGAAGTAGCAACGGTTCACCACTTCCATGGGAACATGACTGACAGAAAAATTTACACACGGTTTACTCATCTGCCAATTTTTGGATGAAAATTAGGCATTTTATATTCCACTGTTAAAAAACATACTGATATATTAGAAAATACTGGCTTGCCTAGATGGTGCTGTACATGGTACTTTATTTTATAAAAAGAGGGTAGAGGTTGAGTCAAACATGCAGTTAAACTTATGGCTACAGTTCTGCAAGGAATGCAATCAAAATTATACATTGTGCACAGAAATTATTGTCCATCATAACTGTAACATTTTGACATTAAATTAGTGAAAAAAAAAGCAACTTCTAATTATTTTTTCTGGTTTTAAATCTACTCTGAGCAGTAGATAAATTGTGTTGCATAATGGTAAATACTACATGGCCCTGTTTTACAGTAAGGACACACGATAATTATCAAAGTTAATTGCATTATAAAAATACAGATATTTGGATAGCGTACTGCATTGCAGAAGTTGCGTAAAGAAGTAAACAGAATGAAGAGAACAAAGTTCACATTCTCTTATAACTTCATGGAACTCATTTGTATGCTTATTTATAATCATTCTTTTTTATAAACATTCTTTTTTAATATATTTTATGTACACAAATACTCTCCTGTTTCTTAAATGAGAAATGCCTCAGGGTGCCAAATGATTATTCTTAATGTTCATGTGCAGTTTTCCCCAAAGGGTGGGGAGTGGTTCTGCAAAGAGATTAAACTAGTCACATTTTGTGGCTAATGGACCTGCCTTTGCAGTTATTTTCTGCAAATTTTGTATTGTCTTCATGAATAGCGCTCCATACGCAATAGCAGCGTGATGTACAAGTCTATGTCCCAAAAATGCGCAGGCAACCACAAGCAAACTGCAGTGGCTCCCCAAATGTGGTTCTCTCTTTTGCGTATGTTTTCTCTTACAAAACTGCTGAAGCATCCCCAGAAATGAATGTAACAAGCAAGACTTTACCCTTGGACTGTATGCTCTGTGTGGAGAAGAAACTGTGCCTTCCTTTGTGTTAGAAAAGCAATTTGCTCACTGGCAGCAACTGCTACTAAATAAGTAAATGAATATGATAAATAATGTACTAGACCCATTTGTGAATATAAAGCTATTCATGTGCATAAATATTTTGAAGATAGGGTCCCGGTTACCATCCTTATCCAATTATCTGCCTTTTTCGACAATAATTATGCCTGTACGTCTAATGGAGATTTTTATGGGATGTGCACAGCCTGTTTATATACCTTTTTCCCTCTCCTCCTTCCTTCCTCTTCCTCAGATCTAGAGCCATTCTGTAAGTAATGTTATCTACATGAGTAGTCACAGTAGGCTTGTGAGTCTATTCTGACCAAAAAGGGAACAGTGTTTTACGGTACATTTACTATGTGGTCAAGGATGTGGTGAACTGAAATTCAACTATTATATTTATGCATTAACTATTTAAGATGGAACCTTTGCTTTCTCTCCTGTGTCAAAATATACAAATGAAAAAGTTCAGTGACCCATTTCAAAACGCTCATGAAGGTCATTGTGTTAAGGCCAAAAGGTCAGAATCCACTCCCCTATGACACACCCCCTGAGATCCACGCTTCAGAATGCAAATGCTCAGAGCTGGGTATAAAACTTATGTCAGGCACACCCCAGATGTTTTAGCCTCCTTTTCTCACAGTGTTTTTTTATCCTTTATGTTTTCTTACAGTACATATTGCATTTTCAATAAATTTATCACTTGCTAAAATAAAATCACTGCTGAAAGATACACTTGATGTAAGATGAGAGACAAAAGCCTGTCTAAAAAATGCCTTCCTAGCCCAGAGCAGGAGGATGCTACTCTTGTGTTTGCAGCGAGGTATTAGAGGTATTTGTTGCCAGTGTGCATTCCACCTGCTGAGCACAGCGTGAGAAATGCCTCAGCTCGCTCCCAATAGCCGCATTAGCATCCAGAGTGCCTTTGAGTAATTTCCCCTCTCCACTAATGCAGCAAAGGGGCTGCTGCATGCCAGAGGGCAAGGGTTGGCCGTGTTTCCAGGATAGCCGAAGGGCTGAGCAGTGACACGAGGAATGTTAAGCAGAGCCCAGTGTCAGTGAGTGACAGATCCTGATCGTGGGATGCTCTTACTCGCGTGCAGGAGAGGACACGGTGCAAGTGCAGGGCTTTGAAGCCAGTCCTGCTGCAGTCTAAAGGCTGCTATGCCCTGCAGTTAAGTGGAAGAAGTAGATCATAATAAAGTCATAGAAAATGCATCTTGTTGCAACTCTTCTGTTTAAAATTCTTCTGAGTGGGAATTTTCAATATGACTTGGTCAAATCCTGCTGGATACGGTTAGTGGCTGAAGTGGACAGGGGTACAGACAGCCATGGCTGGACCCAGGAATGGCTGTAACCTTCTCCCGGTACGTATCAGGCTGGGGTACGTGGGAAGAGACGTGTGACCAACGCTCAGCCTCTCACCACTGTGGCACCTCAGTGCTGACCACAGTCCCCACCATCCTCCTCTCCAAGTCCCAAACTGGGACTCACCTCATCAGTGCCAAACTTCCCAACCCATCCTGCTTTCTCCCTGCTCCGACCAAGTGCTCATCTGGAAATCCCCAGTGCTCTGAGAGAGAAAGGCAGGGAGCTACTGTCAAACATGTACTGCTTGGAAGCCGTTTGAGTCCTGGCTGCCTAAACTTACCACAGTTTGGAAGTCTTTGGTGAAAACACAAAGATTAACATTCTAATTAAAAGATGATTAAAACCACTTAAACAAATGTGAAGAGCATCAAAATGTGAAGAGTATCAAAATGCAAAATTCAACAACACAGTGGTTCAGTTACTATATTAAATATATCAAGTAGTATATTCAACCACTTTACTTACAGATGAATTAAAGATTTCAGTCCTCTGAAAGTATTTCTTGAAATTGACTTAATGCTGTTGTTCTCTATGAACCTGTAACGGGTCGTAAAGTCAATCTGGTCAAAGCAATGCCTGGAACTTGGAAGCCCACCCGCTATATTCAGTAATGCCAGGAAATATACTTTTGTCCACTCACAAATATTCTAGATGAGGAAGGCCCATGAAAGCATCATCACTAATAACATCGAAAGTGTTGGATGTAAACAACCTGCATAAAGAGATGGAAAAGAAAAGACCATTAAGTTATTATTGGCTTTAGAAAATGGCTCAGCAAGCCATGGTAGGCCAGATTTCCACTGCCTGATTTCAGGGTTTTGTCTGTGCAAGTGCTACAGGATTGTAAGGCTGACATATTGCACTGTAGTCCGGTGCAAAGCGAAGGACTCATTTCTTTGCCTGCTGGGGCCATCTGATAAAATTCCATTGACTTCTGTGGGACGTAAATGTGGGTTTATCGTGCCAGTAAAACAGTGGGATTATACAAGTGCGGCTGGAGACACACTGGGATAACAACGAAATGTTCAAGTACTACAGAGGTCTAAATTGTCTTGAAGAACACTTACTTTCGATGACAGCATAGGGAAAGCATCCAGCTGCTTAGCCAGACATCAGACATCAGGCTGAATTTGCAACACTGACAGTCAGGAAAATCCCTTAACTTAAAAGTTAAACTTGTGAACGTGTTTGACCTGAGGGTACTGAGAAGTGATTGAGAAAAAAATGGAAAATCTCTTAAATTAGTCAGTGTTTAAATCAGAACTATTTTTAAGAGCACAGTATACCTGCTGGCAATAACGCATAGTGCATATTTTTTATCCATCTAACAGTAAAAATACAAGCAACAGATTTAATTTAATGGAATTTTGTAAGCATTAAAAGTGGACTTGTGTTGATTTTTCCAGTTTTATTTATGCTTATCACCATGTTTGCTTTTGCCCATTTTAATTCAGATCTGGACTGCCACACCTTTAATAAGGTGAGGCATTGTCAAGTACAATGAACTTTACCCTAGTGGAATACTAGATGCACATCTATATTTTATTTAGTTAGACCTGATGGATAAGTAGATTTACACTATGACATCCTTAGGCATTCAGGGGGGCAAGATTTCCAAGTATGAATGAATACACTTAATGAGTTAATCTCTTATTTTGAAGTTTGCAGTAAGAATAAATTCTGGTTGATTTATTTTCTCACTTGGCTATTGCTGACTCTGCTTTTTCCACTTTAAATATGCTCCTTTATATGTATGAAAAATATAAGCAGGAAATTCGTCCTATTTGTTAGAAACAGTAAATGCTTCTCTTTCTCAGAGAAAATAAGTATTTTTGTAAAACCTCTGAACCAGTAGACCAATATAGTAAATCTGCTGCCTGCAACTAATTTTACTTTTCTGATACGATTTCACTGGGTAATTTTTCCTTTTCCGCACACTACCTTCCTTGTAATTTAAAGAACAGGGTAGTATCTCTTTAACTAGTAGAGCTATTTTAGAGACTGCCAGCATAGGTCTTACACTTGGTGAGCTCATGAGCCTCCCACCTGGTACCTCTCCCTAATGGCTATATCACGCATATTTGATGCACAAAGTAGCTTTTCTCCCACCAGATGTGCTTGATCTGTGACCCACCAGCTAGCTACTTCTGGGGACAGAGGCTGAAGACACTGCACTGTAGCTAGGGACAATATTGCTTAGCAAGAACTGTATGTTGATAGCAGGTACAGTTCCTGGTGCCGTTCTTTCTATGGGCTTTCATGGCATCAGTTTATAACCTTCAGCATGTTGCTGACACACAGAGTCACGAGTGCTGGAGATGAGAGCAGAGAGATTTTCTCTACATTTAGGGAACGCTCCTGCTGGCACTTTGCTGTAGCTGTGTAGGTCCTTCGTATTTTTTTTGTCACAAGAAAAGCCCAGAGCATACCATCCATACTGTTCAAGAAGAAAACCTCTCTTGACCTGGGACTTAGGAATAGCGTTTAGCACAAGACCATGATTTTTCCAGAGACCACTGCCACTACTACAGCAAAACCACTAAAAATAATAATAGTGGGAGATATATTCTGCACTCAGAAATGTGTGACTGGCATTCTGGAGACACCAAGCAACATTTGGACTTTAAAAATATAATGCTGGTGACTATTACACAGAAATACATATAGGCTGCTAAATCATTCTATTGGCTAAATTAAACCTACCAATACAGCTATAATCATGAAAAGCTAAAACTTACTGTAATTTTCAACAAACCTGAGTTTTCCATACTCTTATTTCCCTTACCATATTCTGCCAAAGACAGAAATTTTTCTTTCCCATGTACAAACTGGAGTATTGGCCCCACAGATACAATCCCGCTCCTATGGTCTGTGTCATTTGCCTTAGATCAGCAGCCTGACATTCCAAAGGTGGCAAACAGCTCAGCTACCGTCTTAGAAATATATCCGGAAAAGTGTTTAGGAGTATTTTTAGAAATGCTAGGTAGCAGAAGTAAGTAATCTGTGGATTGTTTGCACCATTTTAACTGAAATCTCATTGAAGCCCATAATGGAACAAAACCAGCTTTTCTGGGGCTGGAGCTTTTGTTGCAGCATTCATTAGCAGCAGCTTAGAACGTGCGTTTCAGTGAAGCATGCAGCAGATCGTGCAAATTATTACTGTTACTAAAATGCCAAAAGCCACTGCCAGAGACACAGACCCCACTATACCAGGCACTGTAATAACTCAAATCAGAAGACTGCGTCTGTCCTACTCCACCCTACCCAATCCTGCCTCCCCTGGCAGTGAGACTGCTAAGTGTAGGTGGTGTATCGTAGCCAAGAGAGATGATGTCCTACTCACTCTCTTCTCATCTAAGCTCCACCAGTGCTGCTGTTTCTTTTTTTCCTTCCTTTGAAAGGTACATTGCAGGAATTGCATGGAATGTGTCCCTTTTGTGATCTGTGACCACCTGGGAAAAGCTTCTCAGGAATAAAGCACGATGGAAAAGCATTTAGGTTTCCATAGTAACCACATTTACCTATTTACCCTGTATCCAAAACTGTACAGTACGTCTGCACCTCCTTATCAGCTCCACTTGAGGTAGCAGAGTACAGCTAGGGTCAGGGCTTCTGCTACCGGCGCACCAGCAGTTTCATCTAACTGCCCTGGGGCTCCAGTACATCAACACTGCACCTCTGACCACACCGAGAGAGCACGGGGATGTCAGCCTGGGACAGACGTCCCATTTTGATTTTGATCACATCAGGGAGTCTGTTGTGCCGGATTTCTGAAACAAATCTGGGTGTGTGTCAGGCTGGCAGCACACCCACTATAAACAGTTCAGGTTACACCCCCTCTACCTCTGTATAGCTTGCAATTATATAATCGTATGCCCACATTTCTAAGAAAGCCTGTGAGACTGTAAAAATCCCATATAGAAATGCATCTAATATTTAAACATCCCCAAATATTCTCTTCTCGAGTATGCCTCTTCACAGAACTTAATTTTTAAATAGCTGCTTACATTTTTTTAACTGAAAGCGAATCGTCATTACTTTTGTGTTTTTTTCCAAAGAACACGAAAAAACAACGGGGTCAAATCCAGGAGCTATGGAGGCAAAACTCCCACTGAAGTGACTGAACTTCACAGAAGTCAATGGCAATTTTACACGGAAAAGCACTTCAGGACCTGTCCCACTGCAATGAAGGGCCTGATCTGGGGGGTTCTGAGCTCACAGTCGACCGGAGTTGCAAATGGGCAGCTTTATATCGGGATCAGGCCCCAGGACTGCAGAAAACAAACATGAATAGTTGTTGCAATGCTCAGGTCTCTACTGTAATGTTAATTAGAGTATCACAAAGATAGCATGCATTCTGTCACCAAAAACTTCATCACGTAATCATTCGAAGTAGCACTGACAACACAGCCTTGCAAAAGACTAAGTAGATACACTTTGAAAAAATTAAACATGCACTATCTTTCAAATTGCTAAAAAGTCTTATATTTTGCCAGCTAATTAATTTTCTCTTGCAGTTTCTTATAAAATTAATACTGACACCCTTTCTAAAATATTTATGGATACATATACATTTCATAACAAAAATTATATCATAAAAATATTTCTCACAGAAGCTGCAGAGATGGTGTGAGCAAAAAACTCCCTTCTGGGATTTTAGTAAAAGCAGATCTCACAAAGGATCTGGAAAGAAGAAAAAAACAACCTTATATTAATGTAATCTCATATATCCATAGTTATAATACTGATCTGGTCATCACAGAGAAATTTATTTATATATGTAAAAAAATCCCACCAAACAAAAAAATGCATGTTACAGGTTTCATGTAGTATAGAAGAAGGTATAAAATGGGATGTGTGCACATACACAGACAGACAGACAGATGAAAGAGATGTAAAAATCAGGATTCAAGGATGCAGCACAATTTTAACACATTAGCTGATGATTCTGAATGCTGGAGGTACTCCCTGCAGCAAGCATCCTTCCGTATGCACTGAAAACACCACACATCCTAGTTCATTTTAAATCATAAATTAAATAACCAAATGCTTACAGCCCTTACAGTGAGATAACATCAGGCGGAACGCTGCGAGGAATAGATCTGGCATTTTCACATAAAGCATTATCTTTGGTACAAGTACACCAGGCAGGACATTTTGGCTTCACTGGTTTCTTCCCTTCAGTCAGCAAAAGCACAGATAAAAGGCATAAGAAATAAGCAATTCTTCTAAAGGGTCTGCTGGCATTTCCCATTCTTTTGATCCGCTCTCGTTCCAGACAGTTGAAAGAATATCCCAAAACATGAACAGGGGTTCTTTATTCAGCCATTGGATGTCTTTCTCTTAAGTCCAGGTCAGTATTTGTCTCTGCTTTCCCAACCCTTTTCTTTCTCTTTCACTCTGTTTTTGTAGACAGAAACCTGCAGCTGATCTGTATGTTTCCACTCACTCAGGCAACGTACTGCTCAGAGAAGAGACCTGCGAGGTGCTGTAAGATGGGGAAAATCCAACCGGCTGAAGGGGAAAAAAAAAAAAAAAAGAAAGAAAGAAAAAGACTTGCATCACCACAAAAACACTGAGCACAACACAGCATTAGATTGCAAAGTGATGTAACTGAGAAATACACTGCTTTCTGTTTTCACAGGGAGGCCCTTTCCCTGTTACCAAAAATAGTACAGCATTATGTTTTGCTGGTGGGTGGGTGAGTGGGTGTGGGGTGGAGTGTATGCCTGTGGGGGGAGAAATCAGTCATCTCTTACTGGATCCCTACTACCTCGTGAACCTTTGAGAATTATGCTTCACATATTGCAAACAGCAGACCTAACAGCAGTATCCACGGGAAAATGAAATCGAGTGAAACCATCAAAAGCATTGCTGCAAAAGCTGTTAGATTAATTTTTATCCTTAGCCCTTATTGCACATATTTGTATCACTGAAGAACAAGCCGCCACACATGGAAAATATTACAATGTATGAGAGAATGCCTACAACTGACATTTCTAAACAAAATATTTTCTCATGCAAAATACACCCCAACTGCTTCTTTTTTTTTTTTTCAGAAGCAGCACTCTTATTTATTACGTTTTCTCAGCTAATTAAGTAAGTGAATCAACCAACACTCAAAATGGACAACATTAATGAAAAGTTCAATTTTAAAAAAATACTTGCTTGGAGATTAGTTTGATCATTTTACACTGAAAGAAGAAAACTGTCATTTAAACACTGGCTATGTTAAACCTGTAGTTAAGAATGGACCTTCTTTGAAAAGTGACAGGACAGGGACACATCTCAATAGTAATAATGAACCTTTACAATACTGCCTGGAGGCTGCAATTGAAATTCATGCTAGGCGTAGTCTGAATACTCTGTAAGCTAACAGAAAAAGTCTGAAGACTTACAGTAAACTACAGTAAATATTTTATAAGGAACTTTAGCAGCACCTAAGTGTTATTATATAAGGAATGTTAAGACAAAACTCATGAATGCCAAATAGCCATAGGAGATGTGAGGTTTTTTTGGATGCAGGATTGCTATTAGTACAGTTCACAAACTTCAGTAGATCTTGACATTTCTCTGTCAGACTGGCAGCACCGTTTATGTTAGACAGATCGCAAACTCTAGTAGGGCCGACCTGATGGTACAGAAGTTTAATATGCTCATGCTCACTATTGGCTCCTTCATGTAGGTGCTGTCTCTCTCAGCTTCTGGTTGCTCCTCCTTTGAATCCACATGGCCACCTGGCTCTGGCCTGTTGGTCATGCTCTACAGGCCACGAAATCCTGTCTTCCTCAGGAACAATGCTAGTGCATACCCAGATACGGATGAAAAAAATTCTTATGCTATGGGTGAAAGATGGCAAAGGGGAAAAACAGTCTGCAAAACTGCTAGAAACTCAGTGTACGGATACTAGGCAGCACCCCAACACTGCTGAACCCTTGCCTGGGTGGTGGCTGAGGTCTGTCTCCCTGGGATGAGAGGAGACCCATCGAGCTCACATCAGGTGGTGGGGCTGCATCCTTGGAGGAACTGGGGATGGCCAGAAATGTCCAGAAGGCTTGCAGAGGGCAGAAGGCCACCTCCAAAGGCCCTGCTGGGAGAGGGCTCCGGTGTCTGTGTGTTGGCACGCTCCCTCACAGGCACCCGTGCCTGCGGAAAAGGGCAGCTCGCGCTTTCTCAGCTCCCTCACTCTCTGCGGTGGTTTTTTTTAAAGCTCTTTATTAATTTACGTGCGGGCCCATGGTTCTGCTCTTAAGAAAATCTTCCCTGTCAGCAGTCTCTCCTGAAGCAGGACTGACTTCAACTAGAAGTGACACAGAGCTGCGTAATTTCTGAGCCCTTCCACCTTCTGCAAGAGAACGGCACAGAATTACAGTAACCAAAGCACTGAAATTATTATAAAGTAAATGTTGATGCCTTCCCCTGAGTATAAAGGTTACTTCTGGCTCTCGAAATTATCTAATTGCATGACTGAGAAGGGAGCTGGATTTGTGGGTCTTGTATAAGTAGGGTACACCATCTTCTTCCCTCCAAGATGTCTGAATGCACAACTTTGGTGAGGTGAGAACAGAAAATTCTCTTAACTTTTTTTCTAAAAGAAAAGAGGCCTGTTTGTTGTTTGTTTGTTTACTCCTGGCAAAGCTACCCATTGCCATGGCGATATTTTGCCACTGATGGTGAAACCCCATGTTGCATTTCCTTTGCCTCATTCACTGAAATCCACCATCAATTACTCAGGCATTTCTTTTTAGTTAAGACTCCAGCCACATTGTGAACCTCCTGAAAACTTCGCAGTGTAGCGGTTTTTTGGTAACAAAAGCTCATTCTGCAGCAGAGCAGTAACCTGATTCCAGTTTTGTCCGCACAGAGAACCGCCTGGAAGTAAGTTTCCTATTCCGAACCACATGCCAAAACAACCACTTTTTTCAAAATTGCAAATATTATGGGTATTCAGAACAGCTCTACCAAAAAAAAAAAAGAGGTATAAATCCCATTCTCCAGGGTCCTTTTGTGCCGAGCTCTCTGCATCTAGATATTCCTTGCCTTGTAGCAGCAGTTCAGGAACGATTCGGCTCAGGGATTTTCAGCGGCATAGCTGCTCTCCAGCGACTGCAACATTTGGCTCACCCCGTGCCGATGCCATCGCTGTTTGTGTTCTGGCTAAGGGAGCGGGCGACGGCCTGCTGTGCCCACAGCCCAGCGCCTGCCTCCGGGCCCTCGCTAGCTTGTTTCCTCTCCCGTTTCAGGTACTGCTTAGGCACAATGAGATTCAAAATTAATTTATTTCTCTTCCAGCAGGATTCCTGCCGGGGGGATGAGGGAGTTACGCCTCACGTTGTTCGGTCTGCTTCCCATCGTCTCACAACGCTTTAGCTCAAACCCCGGGCCGTGCAACAGCGGTGCCGGTCGCTGGCAGACATGTTCCACC